GATGCTGAAGGGCGCCGGGCCGCAGGAGCCCGAGGCGGCGGCCACCGAGTGTCGGGCCGCGCTCGCATAGCTCGGCGGTTTGGTGGCCGGCTACCAGCAGCTGAGCTGAGTCAGGGTGAGCCCGCGGAGGGTGCACGGGTGGGAGGGTGTGTGTAGGGTGAGGGTGCGTCAGGCGGCTGGACCCGGGGGGCAGGACCCTGCAGCCTCCTCACTTCCCCACCGACCTTTCTTTCTGGAGCCTTTGGGTACTGGGTGCCGCACTCGTCTCACCTTATGCAGGCTACCGCTCTGGGGAGCTGGGAGTGTGTTGTGTGTCCACTCATCCGAGGCAGAATGGTTTCTGCCTGTTCTTACGCGGGCTTACTAGGTGCGAGGTGCCTTCGATGGTAGGGGTAAGGGTGGGCACACAGCCATGAAGGAGGTGCTGACCTGTCATCTCGACCCTAGATCCCTGCCTCCGCAGGTCTCCCTGCCTGATGGCCCCTCCAATGCGCTCAATAGAGGGCCACCAACTTGATCAGGTTAGAGGGAAGTCTGATGGAGCCACTTCCCAGTTGGAAGCAGTTCAAGGCTCCCCATTGCTTCTAGAATCCAAATCCAAATTCCTCCCTCTGCTCCCCGCCTCCCCATAACCCTCTTTCGGAATTGCAGCCACATTGGGAAATTGACCATTCCTGATATGGAAGTGCATACACTTTGAACGCCTTGGGCCTTTGCAAATGTTCTTGCCTGAAATGCCTTTCCTCCTTACAAACTCTAACTCACAAGACACCATCTTCAGATACCATCTTCTCCTTCCTTGATGGCACTGGCTCCCAGCTCTGGCTCCTGGAGCCCTTTGTACACAACACAATTACAGCAGGCATCAGGCCATAACTAATCAAGTGCAGTGGTAGTTAAGCTTTAGAGTCAGGCTGCCTGAGTTCAAATCTTCACTGCCTGTGACACATTAAACCACTCTGTGCCTCATTTTCCTCATCTGAGAAATGCAGATAATGACAGTAGGACCTACCTCACAGCGTTGTGTGCAAAGTGCTTAGAATAGTGCCTGGCACCTAGTAAGCGTTTAATAAATGCTAACTAGATGCTGTGGGGTCAATTCCAACTCATGGCAACCCCCATGTGTTTCAGAGAAGAACTGTACTCCATAGAGTTTTCAATGGCTGTGACCTTTTAGAAGCAGATCACCAGGCTTTTCTCTTAAGGTGCCTCTGGGTGGGTTTGAACCACCAATCATTCAGTTAATAGCCAAGCACTTAAAAATCTGTGCCACTCACAATGGAATACTACACAACGATAAAGAACAACGATGAATCTGTGAAACACCTTATAACATGGAGGAATCTGGAAGACATTATGCTGAATGAATTTAGTCAGTCACAAAAGGACAAATATTGTATAAGACCACTATTATAAGAACTTAAGAAAAGGCTTAAACACAGAAGAAAACATTCTTTGATGGTTCCGAGGGTGGGAAGGGAGGGAGAGGGTTATTCACTAACTAGATAGCAGATAAGAATTATCTTAGGTGAAGGGAAGGACAGTACACACTACAGGGGAAGTCAGCACAATTGGACTAAACCAAAGCTAGGAAGTATCCTGAATACAACCAAATACTTTGAGGGACAGAGTAGCAGGGGCAGGGGTCTGGGGACCATGCTTTCAGGGGACATCTAGGTCAACTGGCATAACAAAGTTTATTAAGAAAATGTTCTGCATCCTACTTTGGTGAGTGGCGTCTGAGGTCTTAAAAGCTAGCTAGTGGCCATCTAAGATGCATCAATTGGTCCCAAGCACCTGGAGTAAAGGAGAATGAAGAACACCAAAGTCACAAGGAAAGCATTAGCCCAAGAGGCAGAAAGGGCCACAAAAACCACAGGCTCCATCAGCCTGAGACCAGAACTAGATGGTGCCTGGCGACCACCAATGACCGCCCTGACAGGGAACACAACAGAGAGTCCCTGTTGAAGCAGGAGAAAAGTGGGGTGCAGAACTCAAATTCTAGTGAAAAGACCAGACTTAATGGCCTGAGACTGGAGGAACCCCAGAGAGCATGGCCCCCCGACTCTGTCAACCCAGCACTAAAACCATTCCTGAGGCCAACTCTTCAGTCAAAGATTAGACTGGACTATGGGACATAAAATGATACTCATGAAGAGTGTGCTTCTTAGCTCAAGTAGATATGTGAGACTAAATGGGCAGCTCCTGCCCGGCGGTCAGATGAGAAGGCAGAGGGGTCAGGAGCTGGTTGAATGGACACAGAAAATCCGGGGTGGAAAGGAGGGATGTACTATCACAGTATAGGGAGAGCAATTAGGGTCAATTAACAAAGTATGTATAAATTTTTGTATGAGAGACTAATTTGAATTGTAAACTTTCACTTAAAGTACAATAAAATGAAATTAAAAAAAAATCTGTGCCACCCAGGGATGGCTTTTAATGAATCAGTTGTTATCATCATTATCATCATCATCATTTTGTTTCTCAGTTTTATTTTTGTTGCTGTTGGGAATATGCACAGCAAAACATACACCAATTCAACAGTTTCTACATGTACAATTTAGTGACACTGATTACATTCTTCGAGTTGTGCGACCATTCTGACCCTCCTTTTCTGAGCTGTTCCTCCCTCATTAACATAAACTTACTGCCCCCTAAGGTTCCTGTCTAATCTTTCGAGTTGCTGTTGTCACCATCCTCATTCTTAAAACTCTGAACTCTCCGGTTCTTACTCACTGCTACAGGCCTCCCTCTCTTTAATGTTCTCTTTTCCCCTTTCTGTCCAGTTCATAAGTCTCCAGTTTGTATTTCTAGCTGGAATCAGTGCTCGAGTTTACTTATCATCACTATGTATTGAGTGCCTACTGTGTGCTATGCATTGCACGCGTTGTCTCATTTCACCCACACAACCCTAGAGGCAAGGCCCCTTGTGATCGGACATCTGTGCTATTCCACCAGCCTGTCTTCCTCATCTCCCCATGCTATCATATATCCCTGTGGCTCCATCGCCGTTTTCTGGAAAGCCTTCCCTGACCCTCTTATTTTGCCTTAAGTGCCCCACCTCTGTGCTTTCATAGCGATTTGTGAGTCCCGTACACATTGATTGATTGTTTACTATGTGCCAGGCACTGTTCTACAGTCCTTATGACTATTCTGTGAGGCAGGTACTTCCCATTTTATAGAGACTGTTGCCATGGAATCACTTCCGGCTCCTAGCAACCCTAGAACTGCCCCATAGGGTTTCCAAGGCTGTGCTCTTCATGGAAACAGACCACAAAGGGATTTTTTGGCTCACGAAACTGAGAAGTCATGGCATGGAGGCTAGAGTCTCACGTGTCACCTGTCTCTCAGCTATTGGCCTCTGTGTGGCTTCTGTCTGCAGCTGTCTCCATCAGCAGCCCAGACTTGCTGGCCCCATCTTTTAGCAACCCAATCAGTAAAATAATTTCTCTACCATTGATTAATTCTAAGAAAGACTCTGATTGGTTCTGAACGACAGAGTAGATTGACATAAAGTAGGTCATGTGACAATCTGGGGGACTAAACACCATGACCGACCGATGACCACACAGAGAGATTTCCTCAAAGGCAGACAAAAATCCGGCCCCTTCGGCCACCACCTATGAAGAACCAATTTAGCGTCAGGTACTGAGCTCTGCTCTTTAGACATCCTCTAAGCCAGTGATTTTCAAACTTGATCAAGTATCAGAATTACCTGGAGAGCTTGTTGTAACAGAGTGGGGCTGATAATCTGCATTTCTAACAAGCTGCCAGCTGATGCCTGAGCAGCTGGAAGGACCACACCTGGAGAATTGCTCTAAACCTTTGTTTAACTAGACCAGCAGCAATGGTATCACCTGGGAACGGATTAGAAATGCAGACTCTCAGGCCCCCCTTCTCCCCATCCCAGACCAACCTAATAAAAATTTGCATTTTAACAAGATCCCCACTTTGGATTGTGAAGCACTGCTCCAAGCCCCAGGAGAGGGCCAACAGTACAGTGAGGAAAGCGAGAAGACACCTGTGTTTCAATTCCAGCCGACAGCTTGATCTTTTTTCACATGTGGTTACCTGATGTGGGGATAGGGCAAGAAGGGCCTGGGCTAGCAGCTGGAGACAGGGCTGGGTGGGGACCTGCCCCTGCTGTCTCCACCCCCCACCTCACCCCACCCAGGCCTGCACAACTAGCTGCTGGGGGAGCTGACCAGGTTGGGTGCTGAGCCTAAGACCCGGGCCATCTTGGAGCACACCTGGGTGCTGTACTTGTCCACCTTCCTACAGGACCTGGGCCTGGCCGATCACCTCAGCCTGCTCTTCCCCTTGCCTTGCCCTGGCCCAGCATAGACCCAGCTGCTCAGTACTGGTGTCTCCTCCCAGGGGCCCAAAGACTGGAGCCTGCAGCAAGCCAGTGACTCCAGGGGCTAGGAGCCTGGGCCAGAGTGCAGGGGCTGGAGGAGCTGTTGGCAGAGATGGAGCTGTCCATGGGGGACCTGGGACTGGAAGTGAGCCCAGAGCTCGCTCAGTCCTGAGGCTTCTGACAGGAAACTGGCTTCCTGTCACTGTGTCCCCAGACCCTGGGCCTGCTGTAGGGTGGCCTGAGCCTTCTCTCTCCTTTTTCAGGGCCAGAACGCCTTCTAGTGTCAGAAGGTGGATATCTGGTCGCACTTCACCCTCAACACACACACACACTTTTCTACAACTATTGCTGTTTCAGCCTAAGGTCTGGTTCAGCCTTATCTGCAGCACACTGGAACAAACTCCACGAACATTCCTGGTGCACATCACAACCCCACAGAAACAGGCATTATTGTGACACCCATTATACAAATGAGGACAGAGATGCTGAGTTGTAAAATAAGGTCACAAGGGAACAAATACTAGTCACCCCACTGCTGGGCCCTACAGCTTAGCATCTGCTTCTCGTCTTTGGGGAAAAGAGCAGGGCAAGAAGAGCCCAGGTAGATCCTAAGCCTAACCTCCACAGCCAAGGGTCCCACCTCCAACTCTAGAGTAACTGCAAGGCAGCAACTTGCAAAAGGAAAACAAAACAAAACCCAAAATGTATTTATTTAATATATTCACAAAGGGCTCAAATGGAGACATAATTTAAAAAACAAACAAAACAAAAATGATGCCACAGCTTAAGATACAGAGTCCTACACAGAAATCAAGGAAAGGACAGACCAGCAAAGAAAAAAAATAAAGACAACACAAAGAGAGAGCCTACACAGACTGAGTCAGGGCTCTTGGCTGGAGACTTGCTTTGAGTAGGTTTCCTGCAGGTACTTCTTAAAGGCTGGAAGAGAATAGGTAGGTCTCGGTGAGTGATGGGGACAGGAGGAGCGAAGGTGGGCAAGAGGGCAGCTTGACCAGGGAAACAAAGCTTCGGGAGGTGGGGGAGAGGCTAGCTTCCCTCCTGGACCGCCTCTGCTTCCAGTGAGCCTGGGGAGGGCAGTCATTTGCCTTCTATTAAGAAGCCCTGCAACCTACATCAATGTGGATGGGGTTCAAAAATACCAGACCAAATCCATCATCATCGAGTCAATTCCAACCCATAGCGACCATATAGGACAGAGTAGAACTGCCCCATAGGGTTTCCAAGGCAGTAATCTTTATGGAAGCAGACTGCCACATCTTTCTGCCGCAGAGCGGCTGGTGGGTTTGAACTGCCAGCCTTTCAATTAGCACAAGAGCTTAATCACTGCGCCACCAGGGCGCCTCCAACGTGGATGGGGTGGGGGTTAATTTCCCGGTTTCATTACAAACAGACACACCAGGAGCACCAAGGTAGGGGCAGAGCTGGGCTGACCCACAACCGTCCTCAGGACACTGTCCTGAGTCACTGGGATCCTTTAGTTTGAGGACTGGGCAGGGAGCACCCTGTGCCTGAGGACAAAGGACCCACCTGTGGGGTTTTTCCAGAGTTCAGCAGCATGTGTGTTCAAAGGGCTATCGATGTTGGGTTCTGTGGGTGAAGAGAAAAAGAATGGTCAAGGGGTAGAAAAGGCTGGCCCAGGGGAGTCCCAGGTAGGTTCCCAGTGTGCAGAGGGAGGGAGTGGTCTCAGAAGTTACCTCCTAGCAGGCTCTGGATAGAGAGGAGGATGGTCCTGACGTCATATAGGGCAGACCACTTGTCCTTCAGGATGTCTAGGCAGATGTTACCCTGGGTGTCCACGTTGGGATGGTAGCAAGGCGTAAGGAACTTCACCGTGGGTGCATTGTAAGGATAGCCACTGGGGAACTCCAGAGAGAGCTTATACCTCAGGTCTTCATATACCTGGCATTTGGAGAAACAGAGGCAAGAGTGAGCAGCCCTACCCTGAGCGTCATTATCCCAATCCAAGCCTCAGACCAGGGGGTTTGCTAGGACATGGGAATTTCTGTCTGGGAATTAAAGACAAAAGACAAAACTCCAGGTTGGTTCTGGTGCTGTCTCTCCCATCTGGTGGCTCTGGTTACAACTGTGAGGTGCCCTGCAGGAGGTGAAAGTGCCCCCTTGGAGCGTCAGTGGAGAATCAAGAGGAGTTAGAGGGAACAGCAGCGATCCTTTGGTCCAAGGCTGTAAACTAATTAGAATTTTAATAAATTGCTAAGAAGTAAAAATTCCGAGATTTTGCACACAGGTCTCTGTTTCAATTTATCTCAAATCAGATCTGCAGCAATAGGAAGCAACCCCTTTGAGATTTGTGATGCCCCTCTCCCCCACCCCGCCCCTTCCCAAAAGGCTCATTTGTACTCCGTTCATTTACTTTGCTGTCTGGCCTCCCACAGGCATTTAAAGTTTTGCTTTAAACTGACACTCTTTGTAGACATGAAAAGAAGGAAGCCACAAGGCTCACAGCAGTGAACAACTCGGGGGAGTGTTTTGCCCAGCTGAAGCAGACTGGGCACTTGGATTTCCCCTCCCACCCACCCCCGACTTAGCAAAGTCACACTGATTGCACCCCAACTGTACACTTACTGTGCCAGCTGCTCCATGGATGGTCCCCACCCACTTGAAAAGGTTGTCTGATTCAGGGAAGGCAGAAATTCCTTTGTCGCCAGACATCTGGGGAGGAAACAACGCTCACTGGACTTCTAAGTACACTTTTTGGGAATAGCAATGGAGGTCAGTGGGCAAGCCCCTTCCCCTCAACCTGATCACATTTTGATCCAAAATAAAGCAACCAGACCAAGTTGAGAGAGTCTTCTGGGGGATGTGATTAGCTTGGGATTATAGAGAATCGTCACCAGGCTGAGGAGGGAGAGGTTATGCAAGGAAGCAAGAGGCAGCTCTGGACCCAGAATCATGTTAGTTGCTGGGAATTCACTTAACCTGCTATCAAGTGTTGGTTTCATATAAAGCTCAGGACTGGTTATAGAAAAGGCTTCACAGACCAGGGAGATATACAGTGTGGGAGTTGGAGGATTTCAACTAAATATTCATGGATGATGTAGAAAAGGACGTCTAGGAAGACAGCACTCCAAGAAGTGATAGGACTACAAATGCTAAGAAAAGTGGGGAGTTGCACAGGGTTAAAGCTCAGGGCAGGGAAGGAGAGCCAGGCTGGACAGAGGAAGGCTTTGTAGAGATAACTTCATTGTCAGGGGATGGGACTGGGAGAAGGAACTGCCGGAAGAAAGGGTGTAAGTGGAGTGTGTGAACTTCGGAAGTCAGCAGAGGGTGCTCATCTTTTTAGCCCCATGTCCAGCAAAGGGCCTGACATAGGAGGGAGGCTACTGATCACTGGACTACCTGACTGGGGATCTGGGCGGCTCAGTCACTCACCATGAGCGTCATCAACTCCTGCTGTAGCCTGCAGAGAGAGCATTGGGGTCACCTGGGGGTCTGGAGGAGCAGTAAGGGAGGCTTCCCCCTCATCTCATCTCCACCGTAGGATCCGAGTGAGTCCTCATTCTCCCGAATTCCAGGCTTCTGCAGGAAGCTTCTGGCATGTTCTCAATTCCTCCCCCTCTCCGCCCACCCCACGCCACGCCACGCCACGCCACAGGGACCCCGGCGCATCCTTATGTCGGCTCCGCCTCCGGAGAATATCGGCAGCGTCGCTCTTCTCCCGTCCTGCTTCGGAAGGTCTCAAAGGGCAGCCTGAGGTCCGAGCGTGTCGCTGCCGCAGCCCGCCAGACCTCCCCCGCCCCAGAAGGAGGTGGGGGTCCGGAAGTCCCGCTTTCGGCCCCAATGCCCCGGCATGCCGGGCCCCGGCGGGTGTTTCACCTCCGCCTCGCTCACCTCTTGCCCACGGAGCCCCGGGCGGCGCCCCCACTCGGTTCGGCCCCTTTCCGGGCGGCGACGACGCTGGCTGCGGCTGGGTCGCGGTTCTGGGAGGCCATCCGGGCGGCACTGGCAGGGAGACAGAAACTCGGAAGACAAGACGGCAACTACAGGGCCGAGGGCCCACCCGCCCGCGTTTGAATTGTAACCCTCTGGCCGCGCCGGCCAATCAGCGGCTCGCTTGGGTTTGATCCAGCCAATGAGGTTTGCCGGAACGCTCCGTCACCGCGCAACTGCTGCACCCACCCACCAACGCGCCATTATTGGGCGGTGGAATCTTGCTTCTGAGGACCGATTGGTAGGAAAGGCTGCCATTACCTAACGAATCTGTAGTGGATTGGTGGCCTTTGGAGAACGCCGACCATTAAAGGGCCAAGAAAAAGTCCACGTGAGATGAACCTCTTAAAGTCAAACGTCTTGCTACTCTCGGATGCACCCGGCACGCCTAGCCGTGATCCTTAAAGTTTTCTCTGGGGGAGTGTCTGCAGTCTTCAGGAACCAGTACCTTGCCCCCGAAACTGAAACCCCTACTCCTATCCCCTTATAATGGCCTGGGCACCTTTGCTGGGGCGCCAGGTGTCTAAAAATTTCAGCAAGCGGGGAGGACCAGAGGCCAACGGCCAAGCAGCAGACTCCCTATCAGGAAACACGGGTTCATATCCTGCTTCTCCAGCCGCTTCGCTGCACGACCTTGGGCCTGTCAGTGTTTTAGCCTGTAAAATGGGGATAGTAAATGCCACTCTGCCTTTTTCATATAGTCCCTCATCCACGGCCATGGGGCCAACCATCACATTCGGTCACCTCCACCCCTTAGGTGAGTGAAGAGGTAAGAAACAGAAGGACGGGGAAGTTGGTCTCATAAAGCAGATATGCATGCAGCAGTGGGCCCTTCCCAGGTCTAATCTGAGAAGGGGTGGGGAGCTGGTTCTTTTTTCTTACACTCACTCCTAGCGCCCTTGATGTTTCTCAGGCCCTGCAGGGCAGACCGCACTGAGCAGGCGCACCATCTGTGTTTATTACAAACCATTTAATTGCTTCTTATCCCAGTAACTTTACAAATACAGAACCACATGCCAGTCTGGGGGTGCTGTGCAATGAGTCACTACAAGCTGGCCCAGGCACAGCGTAATGCTGCCGAGATCCCTGCTGGGAGCAGGCCCAGCGGTGGCCTCAGCCATGGGAGAGAGGGCCTTGGAAGAGGGCATCCAAGTGTTGCCAGGGACCCAGCCTCAGGTCTGTGAAGGTGCTTCAGCATGATGCTCATTCTCTGTCCGTAGTGTCTCCATATACTTTCGCATCTTCTCAATCATCCAGGAGGGAAGGACAAAGGATTTCAGCTCCTCCAACTTCAGGTCTAGGCAGCCCCTGCAACAGATATTGAGGAGGGAAGTTGAAGCAAAGAAGGATGTGGGCCCAGCCTCATCCCCAGGACTACTCTGAAGGAAGGGAGCAAGGTAAGGGACAGGAGACCCACTGGCTTTACCTGTAGTCATCGCTGGCAGCGAGGTCCCGGATGTCCTCCTCGATGAGAAGGTAGGCCTGGGGCGGCAGCAAAGGAGAGCAGTCAATGCGCCTGATTCACTCCAACTCAACCGCACTTTATTAAACATCTGCGTAATGTAAGGGCTGCTACTAGGCTTGAAAGGGGGGAGTTTTACAATTTCATAGGGAACGACAGTCAGATGTCTGAGAATGGTTCCTTGAGATAATCTTTCACTCAAATAGAAACTTTATGGATGGAGTAGTGGAAATTGGTGACTATTTATCTATGCCTCCCCCTCTTTTAAAAAAAGACCCAAGCTGGCTTACAACAAAATGGTAGGAGAGCTAACAAAATATACATGGTAACAGGAAGCCAGGAAGAGGAAACTATATGCTAATTCTGGGGACTAAGACAATTTGGTTTTGAGCTTCACGGCAAAAAGGAAACCACGATAATCTGCACTGCTGTCTAGTACTGGGCTGTACCGTCCTGGTGTAGAACTGCTGTGGCACAAGGCCAAGGCCGGCTGGGAGGAAGCCCTCTTGGGACCTCCCACATAGGGGACACTGTTCATCACATTGGAGTCTTCTGTCGGAGACATTTCTTTCCAGCCTTAGGGTCAGGAGAAACTGTGTGTCCCTTGAGTATTTTGACTGTTTTTAAGTTATAGGCCCGGTGAACTATGTAACAGATCCGGTGTCGTTAGGAAGGACCGTGAGCTGAGTTTGTGAACACCCCTACAAGTGCTCAGGTCACTGAGGTCGGCAATAAAAAAAAAAAAAATTTTTTTTTAAAATAGTCTTGCTCTTGGCTTAATTTTAGGTCCTGTCTTTCCTTTTTTCCCCCATCTCTTTCTTATTCAAGTTATGCTGTATTTTATGTATCCTTGGTAAGTTCCCAGAAATCTTTTTTGAAATAAAGCATGGGCATAAATAGAGCAGAAAAATAAAAGCTAGCTTTCATTACAGAAAGGAGATGGCACACCAGTTTGCAAGGGAGCCACTACATTCGAATCACAAAGTCCTAATAAGCTATATGCTAACTCTGGGGACTAAAGACAATTCGGTTTTGAGCATCATGGCAAAGGGGAAAACATGATAATCTGCACTGCTGTGCCGTACTTGGCTGTACTGTCCTGGAGGTAGAACTGCTATTACACAATGCCAAGGCCGACTGTGGGAGGGAGCCCTCTTGGGAGCATGTGATGGACAAAGCCCAAAACGATGACTTTCCTAAGGCTGGTGTCTGATATGAACTGAGAACTCTTTTAAGTGAAGGTGATTCGGGAAGGGACTGCCAGGTGTGGTAAACAAGTTTTATTTCACAGGCTAACTCCGTGGACAGGCGGGTGCTGCCTAGAGTCCTTGTTGAGAAAAGACTCCATAGCTGTGTTTCATGGAAGAGTGTTGTGACTGATGCCTGAAATCTTGTCAATGGGCTCATGAGGGAAAAGTGTCTTGTATTCACCATCCTATGCACAGCCAATATGATCCAGATATGTGGTCTTAGAGGGGAGGATGTAAGAGGGAAAATTGGGGACAGGGAAGAAGATCCTAGGACTACAGTCTGCTCTGCAGCATGAAGGAATGAGCCCTTCTCTACCCTTACAAGTCTCCTTTCTCACATTCGTCCAAGTCTCCAAAAACTGCCAGCGATAGCCAGAACCCTAGGCGGGTCTGGGGCAGTGGCGTGTGCGAACAATGCTTACCATCTTCCCCCCTGTTGCCCGCATGTGATGCTGCTCTGCCAGCCAGTGCTTGTCCTGGGGGTCAGCTGCATACTGTGAGGGATGAAGTCATATTTGTTCAGTGAATGAATGAATGAATTTTTGGGTAAAAAAAAAAAAAAAAAAAATCAGAGAACAAGATAGTATGATCTCCATGTAAGTAGAAAACCACTGAAGGACAGACACATGTGCACAGACTGGGGCTGCATACCACTGCTGTCGGTGGTTGCCTCCAGGGAGGAGAGTCGGTCACAGGGGAAGGGCTACTTTGTGCTTTGCTCTCTGTAAGCTTTGGTGTATTCTTTGAATCTTTTCTTTTTACAGTAAGAATGCGTTTCTATTATTTCTATATGTAAAAGAGTTTAAAAAAGGAAAAGAAAGAATAATGCCCTTTGAAGGACAGAAAAATGGGCAAATGATAGAATAGGCAGTTTACAGAAGAAATACAAATAGATTTTAAATGAATGGAAAGATGCTTATCACCACTAATACGGAATTGCAAAGTAAAACAACAGAAAGGTTTTCCTTCCTCTTAGACTGGAAAGATTAAAATGAGAGAGAATATCCACTGATGATGAGGGTGTGGCTTTTAGAATTGGGAAACTCTGCTGCTAGTAACAACTACCACTTACTGAGCCCTTACTAGGTGCCAGGCATTAAGCTGGGTGCTTTACTGTACTCTCTTAAGTCTTTGAACCCTAAGAGATCAGTCTATCATGTTCCCACTCTACAGATGATGGAACAGGTTCAAAATGTGGAGCCCCTTGCCAGATTACACAGCTAGTAAGTAATGGAACCAGCAGTGAAACCACACTCTTAACCATCGTGCACCAAGAATTCAAAGACGCTCCAAGAACATATCCACTTGGGGGATGATGCAAGCAGGGCTCCTGGAGGAGGTGGATCTCACGGAACACACAGGCAGAGATAGGGGTTGGGGAGGGAGATCAGCCAGGTGAAGGGAACAGCAGGCGTGAAGACACTAAGAAAGGAAAACGCAGAAGTAGCAAGTAGGTTAAATCATCTAAGTGTTGGGAATCCTAGGATATGAGGCTAGGAAGATAGAAGAAAGCAGGTCTGACTGTCAAAGAAGTTGCAAACTTGTACTGAAGTGGTAGAGCCTATGATTCTGGGACACCAAAGAGGCTGCATAGTTCTGGCAGGTGGCACCAAACCTTATGTATAGGTGCAAAAGAAAAAAACATGTTTTCAACCCATCTGCATTATTTTTTCAATATATTTGGATGCTTTTGTGACTGATAAAATACAAATTCATGTAAGAGGGAAAGTGAATTCATGACGCACCCTCCCCAGTGGAGACTAAAGCACAGCTGTTCTCAGGAGCGAAGGCTGCTATCTGAAAAGGGTCAGGACCAGTGCCTTTGTCTGATCTCTTTATTTTAGAGCCCTGGTGGCACAGCGGTTAAGCGCTCAACTGCTAAGCAAAAGGTTGGCGGTTTGAACCTACCAGCTGCTGTGCAGGAGAAAGATGTGGCGGTCTGTTTCTGTAAAGATTACAGCCTTGGAAACCCTATGGGACAGTTCTACTCTGACTCATCACTGACTAGCTGAGTGATCTTGGGCAAGTCACTCAGCCTTTCTCAACCTCCATTTTTTTTTTATTTGTAAAATAAGAGTAACAATACCAACCTTAAAGACAGTTCCAGGACATAATGTAAGTGTAGCTTAAAACAGTGTTTGGCACACAGTAAACATGCAAGGAAGGTAGGTGCGATCATTGCAGCACAGAGGTGCTGAGCAAATTACAAAAGGCAAAAGTTAATGGCAGAGGAGCTACTACAACCCAGACCTCCTGATTCCCAGATCCGTGTTTGTTCCAAGCTTCTCTGTGCCATCTACTCCCAGTCCAAAGGTCTGGCTCTCGCCCACCACTCACCTACCTTAAAGAGGTGTGGGTGCTTGATGTAGATCCTCCCTCTGGTGCCCCCCATGCCCAGGGCCCTGAAAAGTAACACATGAGGGTGAGGACTCCAGTGGCTGCAGTTCTAGTGGTGGACCCCTGAGCTGCCCCCTCCTGCAGTGCCAAAGCTCTCAGACTTACTTGTTGGCTCGAGATCCCAACACAAAGGTGGTGGATTCATTCAGCCGAGCTGGGTCCCACTATGCAAAAAAGAGGCTGGTGAGGGTAAGGTTGCACCTGGTGGGCGGGACCGAAACACTCCTCCCTCTGCCCTCTCCCACCACCACCCTGTCCTTTATTCGACAGTTTATTTTTATTTTGTTTTTGTTGTTGTTGAGAATATACACAGCAAAACATATACCAATAGTTTCTACATGTACAATTCAGTGACACTGATTACATTCTTAGAGTTGTGCAACCATTCTCACCCTCCTATCTTTCGAGTTCTTGTTGTCACTTTGATCCCATATAGACAGTTCTTAAAAGAGCATAATGCTCAAGGCAGACAACAGACAGTTTAAGAGACTAAGTGCTTGAAAGATAGGAAACTCAGGGGGCAGTGAGTTTATGTTAACGGAGGAGGAACAACTCAAAGAGGGAGGGTGAGAGTGGGTGTACACCTCGAAAAATGTAATAATGTCACTGAACTGTACACACAGAAACTGTTGAATTGATGTATGTTTTGCCGTGTATATTCTCAACAACAATAACAAAACTAAAAAAAAAAAGAGAGAGAAACTGAGTACTTGTAATATGCTAGACCCTGTGCTAGATACTGGGGATAAAGAGATGAATAAGATACACTCTCTGTTCTCCAGGAGGCCACAGATACACGTACAGATACTTATGGGGCTATGATACAGACAGGTGCAGGGCGTTTTACAAGGGGTTCCAAAGGGGAAGGTATAGTCAGGGATGCTTCCTGGAAGAGATAATTCCCAAGTTCATTCTGAAAGGATGAGCATGAGTTAGGCGGGGTAGAGGGAAGGAGGAAGGGCATTCCAGGTAGAAGACAGCCTGAACAAAGGGAGGTGAGGTTGGCTTGGTGTGCTGGAAAAACTACAAGCATTTCTGTGTTGCTAAAGGAGAGAGAATACAAGTTAGGGAGTGGCAATTGATCAGGCTGGAGAGAGAAGCAGGGAAGGGCTCGGGCCCTAGTATGCCATGTTCTAGGGGTTCACGTTTTATTTATTCTAGGCAATGGGAAGTTGTTGAAGGCCTCTAAACAGGGAGTGACAGACAGATCTGCTTTAAAGGCAGTTTACTCTCCCAGCAATGTGGACAATGGATTTGAGGGGCGAGTGTAGGGAGACCAATTGAAAGGCTGTTGTAATAAAGCATTCTGAAGGAAGATGAGGGCCTGAACGAGGACAGCAGTAGGAGGAAGAGGAGGCAACAGGAGCTGCAATATATTTACGAGGAAGAATCATCCAGGACCTGAGTGGGTGTAGGGAGGTGAAGGAAAGGGAGAGGCAAAGGCAACTAAGACAGAGAATGTAAAAGGAGGTCTGTGAGGAAAGGTTCTAAGTTCACTTTTAGATACGTTGAGTTTGGAATGGCTATGGAGATTCTACGCAGAGAGGTCCAACAGGCAGTAGGATATATAAGACTTAAACTAGAAAGAGAGGTTTGGGACAGACAAAGAGGTGTGGGAGTTTAGCACATGGTGGCCCCTGAAACCGTTAAGTGTGGATGATTTAGATCACCTAGAAACTTTAGGTGCTGTCATGGATAGAACTGTGTCCCCCCAAAATGTGTGTTAACTTGGCTAGGCCATGATTCCCAGTATTGTGTGGCTGCCACCCATTTTGTGATCTGATGTGATAATCCTATGTATTGTAAATCCTAACCTCTATGATGTTAATGAGGCAGGATTACAGGCAGTTATGTTAATGAGGCAGGACACAATTTACAGGATTAGGCTGTATTTTGAGTCGATCTCTTTTGAGATATAAAAGAGAATCAAACAGAGAGGAGAGGGACTTCATGCCACCAAGAAAAATGCTGGAAGTGGGTGCATCCTTTGGACCCGGGATCCCTGCACTGAGAAGCTCCTAGACCAAAGGAGGATTGATGACAAGGACCTTCTCCCAGAACCAACAGAGACAGAAAACCTTCTGGAGCTGGCACCCTGAGTTTGAACTTCTAGCCTTCTAGACTGTGAGAGGATAAATTTCTCTTTGTTAAAGCCATCCATTTGTGGTATTTCTGTTATAGCAGCACTAGATAACTAAGACAGGTGCAGAAATGGGTCAAGGAGAGAATTCTGGGGAACACCCACAAATATAGATCATTGTTCGCACAAAAGAGAGAGAAGGCGCTTTTGGAGAGGAACAGAAAGATCCAGGAGAATGCAGGGTTACCAGCTCTAAAGGAGTAAGAGTTTTAGAAGAAAGGAGTGATCACTAGTGTGGAGCAGAGAGGGCCGGCAAGATAAGCAGTGGACAATGTCTACTAGACAAGCCTGAGCCAGGACAGCAGTGTTCTTATCTACCTTAGTGGGCTTCCATATATGACTGTAGTTGAAGAAAGGATCCTACTGCTAAAAGAGCTCACGAACAACTGTTCTGGAGACAACCAGAAGCTAATGGTTAAGAGTACAGACTCTAGTGTCAATAGACCTTGCATCTGAGACGTGGTTCTGCTGCATACTAGCTATGTGACTTTGGACAAGTCTCTAAGCCTTAGTACTCTCAAGTGCACTAATCGTATAAGATTATTAGATAAAATAATTTCCTGCCCACAGGCAGCTGGCAGGAAAGGAAGTCCCTTAATTACAGAATGGTAAAAGAATCTATCTCATGAGATTGTTGTAAAGATTAAATGCAATAATCCATACAAAAGGCTGAGAACAGTGCCTGTCACCTATTAAATACTAGATAAATATTAGTGATCATTAGCTTTTATAGGGAGAAGGCTTCTCCAGCAGTTTGTTTTGTCCTAATTCTAATCCCTGTTTGGGATCCTCTCTGGAGGCCATTGTGGCTGGGGGAAGACAACTCTGGAATGGAGTGCACACACCTTTCACCACCTCAGCCCCTTTCCCTCATGGTGGGCCCCAGAGCCTTGGTTGAGTCTCCCCGGGGCAGTGGTCACTGCACACTGAGATCACCATACCTTGGGGCCTTCTCGGCGAATTGGCTCACAGGATTTTGGTTTCCATCTGATTGGAAGGAAAGAAGAAAGGTGACTTCTCCAAGGTAAGGCCTAGGACTGGGAGAAAGCTTGCTGGTGGTGGTGGGAGTCTCTCATGTGTACTCACTTGCTTCGGAGAGGAGACAAATCTAAGGTGTGACCATTAATACTATTCCATCTCCTAGGCCAGTGGTTTTCAACTATTCCCATCCTCCTTCAGCCAGCCCAGCTTGGCTTTATCTCTTTATACATATACTGGGCTTCTATGTAAGGTTTTGTTTGAAGAAAAGGTTCTGTTGCTTCAAAAATGTTTGAAAACTACCATTCTGCAGCCAGTGCAGTACAGTTTTGCCCCTTATTAGCCGTATGACCTTAGGCAAGTCATCTGTCTGAGTCTTAGTTTCCTTATTAGCAAAATTAATTATACCTTCTTTAGAGGGGAGCTGTGTGGATTAAATGGTAAAGAATGTAGGGTGCTTAGACCAGTTACTGACACATTAGTATAAGCACCCAATACATGCTAAGAACAATTAAAATACTCTGGTGTTTAGTCAAGCTGGGCTGAACAGTTCTGGGGCAAAAACAAGATAAAACAGCCTCTTCCTTACTGTCTTCTCGCCGCATCCCGCAAACCAGGGTTACCCTCCCTCAGGATGACTCACACAGATGGATCTGATTTTGCCAGGCACAGAACTCTGGCTTCCTTTCCTTCAGGCCCACCCTCTTCCTCTCCCCACGTCGGCCCTCACCACACTGTTGGCCCCTACTCACACCATGCCGGCGGCTGCCCGGTCATTTGACAGGATGTGTCCAGGAGGCCGTCCCTTCCTCTGCCACAAAAAACAGGTGTCAGAGGCCTAACCCTGTGGGAAGTCCTCCCTACCCTACTGGCAGGCCCAGGGTCACCTGGGGGAGATGGTTTTCCAAAGACAACAAAGGATGCTTGAGCGTAAAGACGGGGAGTAACTGTTTCTAGGGTCCCTGCCTCTCATGCCTAGAAAGGCCCAAAGATGCATTAACCGAGATCAGCACCTTCTTTTAAAGCTGAAGGGCCCTTCCCAGCAGAAAATGGGGAAATGCTTTACCTTTTTGGGGACGGGGCTTCCTCGATGGGCACACTCCTCTTCTGCCTGCCGGCCACGCTGGAGGAAGAGGGAAGGAAGTCAGTAGAAGACCAGTGTTGCAGAAGAGAGCTCCTGGACCCCAGCCCCCTTGCAACCCCATCCTGTTCAGGCCTCGGACGCCCTCGCCCTCCCGACACAATACCGTTTGGGCCAGGTCCTACAAATGGGTGGTGCAAAATTTCCCAAGGCCTCCCAGCCTCATCAGTCTCCTCCTCTGTGCCCAAGGATGCAGTGACTCTGACCTTTATCCCTGGAAGCTCATGGGTCAGCCTGGGTATGACTTTTTCTCCATCTGAAAACAAGAGCTTAGCCTGAAGGGAAAAGATCAAGTGTTAACAGTCACCGTTTTGGTGGGTAAGCACCCCCTGCCTCCATTTTTATAGACATAACTCCAAATGGGGTGAAAACATTTTCATAGTTAGTACAAAGGCACCCCTAGATATGAATATCAGTAAGATATCTGTTTTTTAAAAAAAAATCAAATAATTAATGACCATTGTTGAAAAATTAGAATATGTAAGTAAGCAAAGACAAAACAAACCAACCTGAAATCTCAATACACACAGAAAACTTTTGTTAACATTTTGATGTAAATTCTTCCTGACTTGTCCATGTAAATATGTGCTATATTTTTTTAAATTAAATGCACTAATATAAACATATTCCTCAGTAACCTGCTGTCATGGATTATGTCCCCCCAAAAATGTGTGTATCAGTTTGGGCCATGATTCCTGGTATTGTGTAATTTTCCTGTATGTTGTAAATCCTGCCTCTATGATGTTAATGAGGGAGGATGGGTGGCAGTTGTGTTAGTGAGGCAGGACTCAATCTACGAGAGATTGGATTGTGTCCTGAGACAATCTCTTAAGATATAAAAGAGACAAGTGAGCAGAGAGACAGGGGGACCTCATACAAGGAAGAAAGCAGTGCTAGGAGCAGAGCACGTCCTTTGGACCTGAGGTCCCTGCACGGAGAAGCTCCTAGTCCGGGGGAACATTGACGAGAAGGCTGACAGAGAGAGAAAGCCTCCTGGAGCTGATGCCCTGAATTTGGACTTTTAGCCTACTTTACTGTGAAGAAATAAATTTCTCTTTGTTAAAGCCATCCACTTGTGGTATTTCTGTTGTAGCAGCACTAGATAACTAAGACACCTGTTTTATTTTTCATTTAAGAAATGACTGAGTACCTGGTACAGAAGTGCTGGGCCCATAGCAGTAAGCAGGCCAAGCAAGGCCCCTGCTCTGGTGGAGCTTACATTCTGTGGGTGATCTGGATAACCAGCAAACAAACACACAAAGAAACAAGGTAACTTTGGATCATAATAAATGCTCTGAAGGAAAAAACAAAAAACAAAACCCAGGCAGACGTGCCAGAGAATCACCTGAGGGGAGGGCTACTTCAGGGTTGTCAGGGCAGGATTGCAGAGAAGGTAGCCTCCAAGTTGAACTGTGAAGGAGGAGGAGCCAGCTATAAAGAGAGCTGAGGAGAGGTGTGTTTCAGCAACAGGGAAGAGAGCAAAAGCCCTCAGGTAGGAACAGATTTGTTTCAGGGAGAAAAAGAAGGCCTGGCAAGTAGAGGGCAAAGGGGACTGTGGTATACAAGGAGTGTGGTGAGGTGGGGGAGGGGGGCCTTGGAGGCCACGTGAAGAGTTGGGGGCCCGGGACCTCTTGGAGCAGCATTTGACAGTGCTGAGTCAACCCTTCTTGAAGCACTTTTCTACCAACTCCTGGGGCCATCCTTTCCCAGCTTCCCTCCTACTTCTCTGGCCGTTCATCTTTAGTCTTCTTTGCTGGCTTATCCTCCTCTGTCTAATGAGAGAGAGAGAATGAAAAGACCCATTCTGTCTGCTCTCATCTGTGTGCACAGCTTCACTTGGCATCTATAAACTGATGATGCCAGAATTTTCTGTCTTCACCTGTCCCCTCTTTTTTGAGCTCCAGGCTTATATACCAGTCTGCCCCATGTCTCTGCTTGGATGTCTCAAATTTGCTAAGTCCAAAACTGAAGTCATGATCTTCTCCTCCAAATGTCTCTTTCTAGTAAAGAGTGTAATCATGCACACATTTCTGTGGTCATGTAATTAATGTCTGTCTACCTAACTAGTTTGTAAGTTCTATGAGAGCAGGGACCACATCATCTGTTCATTCATTCATTCACTCGATCTTTCAATAAACACTTAGTGTACACATATTAAGGGCTGTATTCACAGCAATAAACAAGATCAGGCCTCAACTCTTGTAAAGCTTAGATTTTAGCAGAGATGGGAGTGGGAGGCAGACACAACATAAACAATTAAAAATAAGAATTTTAGACTGAAATAAATGAAATGAAGGAAATAGACAAGTGAAGTGATAGAGAGTTAACTGGAGGTGGGGGTGCCTATTTTGGATGGAGTAGTCAGGGAAGTCCCCTCCAAGAAGGTGATATTTAAGCAAAGACCTGAACAACAACAAAAGGAGCCAGCTACATATAGAGTTAAGGGCAGAACATTCCAGGCACTGAGAACAGCAAGTGCAAAGGCCCTGAGCTTGGTGTGCTGGAGGAACGGAAGGAAATTCAGCGTGGCAGGAACATTGTGAATAAGGGGGAGGTGCGATGGGATGAGGTTAGAGAAACAGGCATGAGCCAGTCCAGGTAGGCTCTGTGGTTCATGGTAAGGTGTTTGCATTGTATTTGGCTGGCCATGGGAAGTCCTTGAAGGGTTTTAAGGACAATCAGATTCACTTTAAAGAGCTCAGTCTGGCTGCTGTGAGAATGGATTGGAGGTGGACAAGAGTGGAAGTAGCTCAGGGCTGAGATACACATTGGGAATCATCAGCAGTTAAACGGGCTTCAAAGCCACAGGACTAGATGAAATCATCTAGAAAGAGAGTGAGTCACAGAAGAGAAGGGGTCTGAGATCTAAACTTGGGAATGTGCCAACAGGTCAGGTACAGAAGACGAAGTCAAGGAAGCTCAGGAGGGCACTGGAGCTGAGAGAGGAAAATGTTCCAAGAAAGACGAAAACATCCATGGCAACAAATGCTGCCAAGAAGCTGAGTAAGTCGAGGACAGTAAGGGTCCACAGGATTTGACAACATGAAGGTTTCTGGTGACCCTGATAAAAAGGGCTCCAGTGAAGTGGTGGTGGCTGAAGCCAAAACACAGTGAGTAGAACCGTGAATGGGAGGTGAGAAAGTGGAGCCAGTGATTGTTGGCAGCCTTTCCTGAAGTCTGGCTATAAACAGGAACAGGAAAATAGAATGGTAGCTGGAGGGGATCATGGGGTCAAGGGTGGTATGTTTTTGCTCACTGTTGTATTCCCAGTGCCTCAATGAACGAACATACATGTATAAAAACACACTAGAGTCCCTGGGTGGTGCAAATGGTTAACATGCTCAGCTGCTAACTGAAAGTCTGGAGGTTGAAGTCCACCCAGAGGCACCTCCAAAGAAAGTCCGAGTGATCTACTTCTGAAACATCAGTCATTGATGGGGTAGACATGAGTTGGAGGTGACTTGACAGCAATTGGTTTTGATTTTGGAAGGAAATACATCAAAATATTAATACAAGTTATTGCTTTTAATTTTCTTCCTTAAATTTATACTTTTCTAATTTTAATATAATAGCAGCAGGTTACATTTATTGAGTGTTTAGTTATTGATCTACTAAGTGGGTATACCATAAATGAGTAGCTAAGGAGATTAGGGAACACTACTGAGATGATCTAGATGTGGTCTCAGAAATGAAAACAAGCAAATTGAGTCAAAAAAGCAAATCAACCAAAACTAAGAAAAAACCTAATCTAACTGCCATATGTTTGGTCTGAAGAACCTGTTAATACAACAAGATGGTCTGCATACAGTATAGAAAAGAGGACCCCAAGGTGATTCAAAGTATTCTGGCCACTGAAAGCTAGACTCTGTTGTAAGGCAGAACTACTTATTGTACATAATTATGAATGTAGATACCATGTACTTAATATGCAGTATGTTCTGTGCTATATGTATGTGCACTGTGTTGGTAGTAGTTTATGTATATTATCTCATTTAACCCTCGCGGCAAATCATGGGGTGGGAGAAGTGGTCTTTACTTTAGAGATGAGGAAATCGAGGCTCAGAAAGGTTAACAGACTAGCTCCAAGTTTCTTGATTTCTCTTGTTTCATGTTGGACGAGGATGAAATAGCTCTTTGGGCTTCCTACTGCCCTGTGCTCTGACCCCATAATGACCAAACAACCTCCTGTTCCACACTCTGGCTTTCCAGTTACATCACTACTGGAAAGGGGGAACTCTGGAGGGTGGACAGGAGGATTCAGTAGATTGGAAAGGTACAACTATTCATGGAGTACAGTTATGCCCAATTAACTTTAACTTCACCTTCACCTTTCATTGGGACTCCTGCAATAGTCTCCTAAATCCCCTTCCAAACCAATCTTTTCCATTCTTCTGTTTAAAAAGTCCATATCTTTTGCTGGGCAGAGCCAACATGGCGCTATAGACAGAAGCACCATGCCATCCCTCTGCAGCAAAGACCTGAAATACTAAGTAAAACAGATACAAACATCAATCCCAGAACCGTAAGTCCAAACGAAGGAATAAAGAACTCGATCAAGCACCGAATGGAATAAGAAACAGAACAGAGAATGAGGAGAGCTACGGAGTGGAGGTTGCCTACCAGCTGACGTGGCTGGATTCGCCATCTTGGACTACAGCCACCAAAGACCTCAGACAAAGAGTATGGGAAGGTGACTTCACGGAGCTCCGAACAGGAGACAGAGCACCCGGTTACCAGGGATACACATTCTCCCACCTCCCACCCTTCCTCCCTGTACAAGGCATCTGCCACTTGCCAATGGGCCATGGACCCTCGGCCAGACAGGTATCAGCTCACTGCTGCTGGGGTCCGCCCCACCCCCACTGGTCAGCCCCTTTAGCACCAGTATCTTGCTTGTTCTTCTTTTCTTTGGTTTGTATTTTTGTTTTTTGATTTTTTTTTTGGTTGCTTCTCTCTCCCTTCCTTCCTTTCCCTTCTCCTGTCCAGCTAACCCTGTGTGCCATCCCCTCTCCCTCTTGATGGGCTGCGATTTTTTGGTTTGTTTGCTTTGTTGTTCTTTTGTTTGTTTTTTGGGCTTTTTTTGTTGCTTCTCTCTTTCTCCCTTCCTTTCCTTTCTCCCGAGCAGCTAGCCCCATGCGCCATCCCCTCCTCTTCTTGATGGGCTGTGATTTTTTGGTTTGTTTGCTTTGTTCTTTTTTTTTGTTTCTTCTCTCTCTCCTTTCCTTCCTTATCTTTCTCCCGCCCACCCAGCCTTGTGCACCGCCCCCGCCCCTTCTGGAGGAGCCGTGCTGCACAGCTTGGTTGGAGAGTCACCGCGTGCTGCCTCCCCAGATCTGCGCCGCCATCACTGACCATTTCCCTCAATGCCATTTTATTTATTTATTGTTTTCTTGTTATAGTTTCTTCTCTCTCTCTCCTTTCTTTTCCTTTCTCCCATCCACCCAGCCCTGTGCACCGCCCTCAACTTCTTGGCAGGCTGTTGTGTACTGCTTGGCTGGAAAGCCTCTGGCACAGGGCCTCCCTGGGTCTGTGCCGCCCCCACAGGCCAGCTCCCTCAGGGCCATATTTTTTATTTTTCTTTATCTTTCCCCTTCTCCTTCCTACCTAGGCCCTGAACTGCCTCCAACCCTTCCTGATGGGCCGTGCCATGCCACCTGGCGAGAGAGACGTCAGCTCACTGCCACTCCAATTCCGTCCCGCCCCCAACGGCTGGCTCCCCTACCACCATATTTTGTTGTTGTTGTTATTTTTATTATTATTTGTTTGATTGTTGGTTTCTTTCCTCTCTTTCCCCTTTTTTCTTTCCCTTCTCCTGCCCACCTAGCCCTGTGCACCACCCATGCCACTTCAAGACAGGCCAAGCAGCACCGTTTAGCTAGAGAGCCACCAGCACACAGCCTTGCTGGGTCTGCCCTACCCCTCGCTGCCGAATCCTACAGCACCACCATTTTATTTACCTTTTTTTTCTTTTTTACACATTTTACTTCAGAAAAAATTTTTTTGCTTTTGTTTCTCTCTTCTTTCACCCACCCACTTAGCTCTGCACATCACATCCTCTCCCTTCCCTCCTGCCTATCTGCACCGTGTGCCAAGTGCCATGACCTCGAGTGGTACTGACTTGGTTCCCTGGACCCCACCCTGTAGTGCCCCCTAGCCCTACCCTGCTGCCCCCAGTTCATGCCACAAACTACCCATCCCCACCCCTCCACCCCTGCTGGACCCGCCCTGCTGCACCATAGCTGAGTGACCAGCACTACCTCCCTGGACAAGGTGATGAGAAATTATCGTGCCCATAGGCGAGCAAGCAACAAGACACACCCAGCTCGCCTGCCCAGATGTAACCAAATAAAACAAACATGTGGGACGAAACAATCAAATCTACAATCTAGAACGGGTAAAAACAGAAAACTCAGAGAGGATCACTGAAGGTTTGCTGACAGAAAATTTCCCTAACATCATGAAAGACAGACAAAAAGCCAACCATCCAAGAAGCTCAACAAACCCCATATAAGATAGATCCCAAAAGAAAAACACCAAGACATATCATAATCACACTCCCTAAAACCAAAGACAAAGAAAGAATCCTGACAGCAGCTCGAGAAAAACGAAAAGTCACATACAAAGGGGTAACATTAAGACTAAACTCTGACTACATGGCAGAAGCCATGCAGGCAAGGAGACAATGGGATGACATATAGAAGATCTTGAAAGAAAAAAAAAATTGCCAACCAAGAATAATATATCCCGCAAAACTCTAGCTCAAATACAATGGCAAAATTAGGACATTTCCAGATAAACAGAAATAAAGGGAATATGTGAAAATCAAACCAAACTTACAAGAATTATTAAAGGGAGTCCTTTGGTTAGAGAACCAACAACATGAGACAACAATCTGAATCTAGCACACAAGACAGCTTCAGCCAGATACTAACCTAAATAATGAACTCTCTCAAGGATAAAACAAAACTGAACAATTTACAACAGGGAACCAGAGAGGTCAATCTGTAAATGACAGCAACATTAGAACAATAAAAGAGGGAATAAACGGTGTAGGTATAGAACTTTCAAATAGCTAGGAAGTCAAGGTGTTATCAAGTAATAAAAGACTGGTTTGAACTTAGGAAGATAGGAGTAAATTTCAAGGTAATCACAAAGAAAATTAACAAACCTACCCATCAAAATAAAGAAGAAAAACATAAAGTCTCAGTAAATGTCCACATCTTTCATTTGGCTTGTAGCACTCTGCTAGATTTGGCCTTGGTCATCCTGATCAGCGGACATTCTTCTCCTCGCCTTCTGAGAGCCAGCAGTACTGGCTTCTTTCTGTTCTTTGGACATATTATGCTCCTTTCTGCCCCTGGACTCTGCTCCCTCTGGCATACTGTCTCATTGCCTTAGATAACTTACAGCACTTATAACAGTTTGTAATTATAGATATTGTGTATGGTTATCTGAGTGATGCCAGTGGCTCTGAGTGCAAGGACTAAGTCCATGCTGCACAGCACTGTTGGGACCTGGCATAGTACCCGGCATATAGAAGACACTCAATGAATACTGGTTGAATAAATAAATAAATTTAACAAAGCATTTTGGGATGTAAACAAGAATGGAGGTTTTTATAAATTTAATCTTGATTCAGCTCAAACTTATAAATAAATATTATAACTATAAATAATAAAAAATATTAGCAAACTTTTTGTACTTTATTATCAGCAAATGTTACAATGATCATAACATACCGAAGTCCCAGAGTAAATGGGTGAATTTAATACTGTACCAGAATCCGACTGGCTTTCTGTCGGTCTGCACTGACGAGATAAGAGTTCTATCCTTTCAAAGCTGAGGTCCAGGCCTGGTCTTACTCCTTTCTAAGGCTGTGCCTGAGTAGATAGCCAGCCAACCTCCCAGAAGACAACTGTCTCTCATCTTACTACCCTCAAAGGGCTGAACTCAAACTAGTCCTCGTGGCTCTGATTATGATGAAATTTCCATCTTTGATGGCTAATGGTTTCACAATCAAGCAGGCAATCTGGGTGATGCTGACAATTACTATTAATAACAGCAGCTGACACATGTAAACAGCTTCACTACTATCTTGGGAACATAGTCATTAATAGGCTTGATATCATGCCTCCTGCCCACACATTGAGAGGCAGGGAGGCAGAAAGAGTGATAGTCCCCATGATGCCAAAAGGAGCCATGACTACTGGAAGGTGACTGACCAAGCACTTGCAGAAGTGAGACAGACTTTAGCTATTCTAACTCTTGCTTGTTCCAAGCCACAATTTCTTTATCTGTAAAACAGGGACCAAAAGATGTCTTCTTTATAGTGTTCCTTCTGAGATGCAAATGAAGTAATGAATAATTGATCACAGTACCTGGCATATAATAGTTACTAGATAAATGTTCGTTTACCTTTCCCTTCCCTTCTCTGTCAGCAACAGCTCCAAGCCCTATCTGGATGTAAGTGGCTTGCTGAGTATTCCCAAAGGTACCACTAATGATGGGAACATATTTCTTAGCAGGGCTCTGAGGGCGAAGCCTTGTGCCTACATATCGTCTCCTTGGTCTCACCTGCTCCAAGCAGCTGCGACAGGCCTCCTGGATCAGCTGCTCTGCATCCACTCCTTCCCCAATGTTGTCTCGTACATTCAGTGCTGCCTTCTGGAAGAACTAGGGAGAAGCACAACAGAAGACAGGGTCAGAAGTCCTGCCACGTTTGCATCAATCTGAAGGAAACAGGATATAAAACAGAAGCTTTTATCCTACTCCCATACAAAAGGGAAAAGCAATCATGGGCATGGCTTTGGGACCTGACAGACTGAGATTCATATCCCAGGCTCTACCATTTTCCACTCTATTCCCTCTCCTAAGGATGTAATATCACAGAGATGCCCAAAGGATGGTCACTACAGCATTAATGTATAAATAGTGCAAAATCAAAACTTAACCTAAATGTCCAACTACAGATTAAATAAACCGTGGCATATCCACACAGTCAAATACTATGCAACTGTTAAAAATGACAGTAAATCATTAAAAATGACAGCAGTCCCTATTTTGTTGTTAGCTGCTGTTGAGTCAATTCGGACTCATGGCAACCCCATGTGTTACAGAGTAGAACTGCTCCACTGGGTTTTCTTGGCTGTAATCTTAATGGAAGCCTACCTTTTGCAGTACTGCTGGGTGGGTTCGAAGCACCAACCTTTAGGTTAGCAGTAGAGAGTACAAACTGTTTGCACCACATAGGGGCCTGAAGCATGGTACAGGAGAACTTTTTTTTTTTGACATAAAATGCTATTCATAATATATTGCCAAGTGAAGGAAGCAAAAGGAGCCCTGGTATTGCAGTGGTTAAGAGCTCAGCTGCTGACCGAAAGGTTGGCGGTTCGAACCCACCAGCTGCTCCGCTGAAGAAAGATGTGGCAGTCTGCTTCTATAAAGATTATGGCCTTGGAAACCCTATGGAAACCCTATGGGGCAGTTCTACTCTGTCCTGTAGGGTTGCTGTGAGTTGGAACTGACTTGACAGCAATGGGTTTGTTTTGGTTTTGGTTGAAGGAAGCAAGTTATAAGTTTGGTTTATACAGTATGAGCCTGTTTATGTAATACAGCAAAAAATAAACACCTAGAGACAAAAGAACTGAAAAGATATATACTAAAGTAACAGTGGTGAGATTATGAATTATTTTTTTCTTCTTGTTTGTCTATATTCTCTTTTTTATAATGTACATGTATTACTTCTGTAGTAAGAAAAAAAGAATGTCAGTACTTGAAATGAACAGGCAAGGGAAGGCCAGAGAAGATTCAGATTACAGAAAGTCATAATTGAATTTTGACTTTGCTCAATCTGAAAGAAACATCTGTGGAATGGGACAAATGTGACCTGGGAAGAACACCAGAATGCCAGCTGCCCCAACTTGCTGGGCAAAGGGAAAGCTGAAGCTTTCACAACTGGGTATGAGGGACAGCTACAGCCTGAAACCACCAGGGGACAAGGTGACACGTGGCCTCAAACCAAAGCACTTGCGAAAACAGTCACAGAACCTGTCATGTCTCTAGATGACAGTGTCACTTCTGTCGGAGCATAGTAAAATTCTGGACCCTATCACCAATGCCTCTAATATGAGACAACTATGGGGACGTATGCCATTTTATATTTAGCAAGGTCAACTGCCTGTGCTGTTAACATCAAACCAAGGAGAAGAGTGTGAAAGGACTGGGCTAGAGACCTCAAGAGTTTAGGAGGAAAATTCTTCAGACCAAATGAAATGGAGTGATCAGATGAGTTTGACTTGAAAACAAAAAACTGGAGATTAATCCTGGTGCTCAATACTGATTATTGGCTAAGTGAAAGCCAGTTGAAATAATCTGGACACTTTACAGCCAGTCTATGAAGTAGGCAGTGCAATGAATATGGAGTGAATGTGCGCTACCTCTGGACATGAGAACAAAACTAGGTCACGGACGAGGCATTCTCAAACACTCTTGGCAGAAATGTAAAATGGCAGAACCTTTCTGGAGGGAAAGATGTGTTTTCTCTTTTACCTACCAACTCCACCTCTAGGAATCTATCTCCCAGAAATACTCTCACAAGTGAAGAAAGATGTACATTCAAGGTGTTCACTGTAACATTGTTTGTAATAGAGAAAAACTGGAAACAATCCAAATGTTTGAGGGACTGGCTAATTATGGTGCACCCATACAACACACCATTCTGCAACTATTACAAGTGAATCAGGACGAGCTATATGTACTGATCACTGACCTTGAAACATGACCAAAATATATTGTTAAGTGAAAAAAGCAAGTTATAGAACAGTGTATGTAAAATGATTCTGATTTTTTTTTTTTTAAAACACACACACACGTACAAATAAATCTGGGAGACCATGTAGCCACTGTTAACAGTTGGTGTCTCTGGGAGATGAGTTTTAGTGACTTTCAGTTTTTATTTTTTTAAATATCTGTATTATTTTTTCCAACATTTTCTTATGAAAATTTTCAAACATACAGAAAAGTTGTAAGAATTACTCAATGAACACCCAAATACACACCACCCAGAGCCTGTATGTAACATTTTGCTCTATTTGTTTCATCACATATGCATCCACTTACCCATTTCTCTATCATCCATCAATCTACTGTATCATCCATATTATTAAAAAATTTTTTTAAAAAAAGGGATATGCATTTAGTAACCAGAAAAACAATCAATAAAGATAAATAGGGCCTTAGATAAGCTCAGTCATATCTAGAAATTAGTTATCATAAAACACTGCAAGGAAATGGGTAGCTCAGATTTGGGAACACTGTCACAGAGATCAGATAAGGTCAATCTGTAAACATGTAAGCTGTGAACTTACATGAAGCTATAATGATTAAAGCTATAAGCTATAATCGAGTTATTTGTACCTTGTCTGAAAACTAATGAGATAAGGAGGTATCTTCACAGACTGTAAAAGCAGGGAGCTCAGAGCTACAAATTGTGCTTATTGTAGCTTCTGTCCAGGAGAGAAAGTTCCTGAATCATGGTATCCACTACTGTGAAGCAACAAGGAAAAGGGTTTGAAGGCAGACAGTCCTGGACTAAGTCCTGTCCTGGTCTCTTCGCAGTGGCTTAACCTCTTTTTCTGCATATGGAAAGGCGGAAGGTGTGATAAAGCATGGTGCAAAAAGTAAATTAGGGGTAGTGATAACCAGGGTACACGGGGGCAGGGTGGGGGGCGGGTGGTGGTGGCTGGGTGCTGACCACTGTAGGCCATATATGCCATGTTAAGGAATTTGGATTTTGCTCAGAAGACAATGGAAGTCGCTGAGGGATTTTAAGTTGGAAAGTGACACCCTCAGATTTACATTTTAGAGACTATTCTGGCAGTATCTTTTAGTATCATTTAGGGATTATAGCAGAAGTCTGGGTGAGACATAATGTAGGCCTGAACCAGGGCAAAGGCAAGGGAGAAAAGGGATACGTCTGACAAGACTGTGAAGCGGAATGCACAAGATTCAACTGGATATGGAAGATGAAAGAGAAGGCAGGGTTCCTGGTATCTAAGTGAATGGTGGTACCATTCAAATTTAACATGTCCACAACCGAGCCCCTGATTTCCTCTGCTTGTTCCTGTTTTCCTCATATGAAGTAAATGGCAATTTCATTTTTGTAGTTGCCCAGGGCAATTAATCTGGGAATCACTTATTTCTCTCTTTTTTTCCGTCCTACACATCTGAATCACTGGCATATCCTGTGGCTACCTTTAAAATGCATATGGAATCTGACTCTTTCCCAATGTCTTTACTGCTAATACCCAAGCCACTATCTTCTCTTGCCTGGACTATTTCAATAAGCCTCCTAAGTGGTCCTCTGCTCAAAACTCTCTGAGGACCTCCATTTTACTCATAATAAAATCCAAACTCCTTATCACAGCTTTAAAGGTCCTGTATGAGTTGGGCCTTGGTTACCTCTCAGACCACCTCTCCTATTGCTCAGTCAGCTCCAGCCCCAGTGGCCAATTTGCTGCTTTGAATATGCCAAGCACCCTCCTGCCAAAGGGCCTTTGCCCTTGCTCCGTCTGCCTAGACTACTTTTCCCCAGCTATCTGCAGGGCTTGCTTTCTTCTTACTTCATTAAGGTCTCCACTCAAATGTCCCCTTATGAGAGGGTTTCCTAGCCACAATATATAAAATAGCACCCATTCCCTACTGCTCACTCTTTCCTCTGTCATTCTCTAACATAGTACATATTTGTGTAAGGAGAGTATTCTGTATCTCTTATAATGATCCCAAATCACATGACGCATAAGTCACGATTATGCTTTCAAAGTAGATATATATAAGCACTCATAATGTGAACTTAGAAATAGAAATATGTCTACCTTTGTGAGGCTCTCTAACATTACCACCCGTTGCTGTGACGTCAATTTCGACTCACAGCGACCCTATTATTATTATAAACCTGTCACCAGGTTCAAGAAAATTTCTGAACTTAGACATAGAAGCATGTGAAGTATGTGAAGAATGTTAACAACCCTTAAGTTCACTTTGAGCTGGCATGCTGTGACCAAGAAAACATAACCTAGGTAATCTTTGTAAACTAGCCTTGAGACATAAGGCTAAACAGCCTCCCTGATCTCTAACCTTGAAAAGAAGAGGTGAAATTTAGCTAATCTCTAACTCTGGAGAGGAGACATAACATACTAGTCTTTGATGTCACACTGGCCCTTACTGTGTGAGGCCAAGGTGAGAATTTCACAACTAAACCCTGAATTTCTGCTCACTCACTGACAGAAGGCAGAGGTAAAGTGATCTTTCTCTAGTCTCTTACTCTCCCTGAACACCAAGAGCCTGCTGAGACTCTGCCTGCTGTTGCTGACCTCAGACCCTAGCTGCTGAGGGACCTCTGCCGAGTTCAAGCCACATCAAACCTTCCTCCCAAGACCTCTCATTGAAGGTAAATGCTTGAAATCTAAAAATCTGGAGTTTAACCACTGAACTAATATTGTAATTGTAGTTGCTAATTCTGATTCTCCATTTCTAAATGAATGTTGTGAGGTCTTACTTGAGTGCCTTGCCATGACTATGTTGCAGTAGACTAAACGAATTTATGCACGTCAAACCTGGGTACCTCTCTATTCACTTCTAAGATTAAACCCTACACAACAGAGAGCAAGAACTTTGTCTGTTTTGATCACTGCTACATCCCCAGTGCCTAGAATAATACCTGGTGTTATAGCAGGCATTAAAAAAATACTTGTTGAATAAATGAATATATACAAAAGAAAAAGGTTTAAGAAGAAAAACTAAGAGTTCAGTTCTGAACATGCTCAGTTTGAAGCATCCATGGGACATTCAGGTAGAGCCATGTAGAGGTTATTCATGGGCCCACAAAAGAATTTATATAACAATACTGGTGATATTATTAAAAAAAAAACAACAATATTTGTTGGACACTTATTATGTACCAGGCACAGGACCAAGCACATAACACCTCTTTTCATCCTCACAACAGCTTGGTGAAAGAGGTACTCAGATTACCTCCAGTGAGGGAAAAAAGTGCTTGGAGAATCAGAATTAGGAAACTTTAGATGGACTCAATCCTCGTAATTTGTGGTAGTTATGTTTTATAAGAGGAGACCTGGTGGCACAATGGTAAAGCATTTGACTGCTAACCGAAAGGCTGGCAGTTAAAACCCACCAGCCACTCCGTGGGAGAAAAGACCTGGCGATCTGCTACGGTAAAGACTGCAGCCTAGAAACTCTATGGGGCAGTTCTACTCTGTCCTATTGGGTCGCTGTAAGTCAGAATTGACTCGATAGCACACACCACCACCACAATGTTTTATAAAGTCATTGCGAACACTGAATTAGTGAACATTGAACTATTGCTCTAGGGGAAATACAAGGTTAGGTTCCTGCAAGTCTCTGATCATAACATTTTTGCCAACCGATCAATACATACACTTGTTTTACCTCTGTTGTTGTTAGGTGCCGATGAGTCGCTTCCGATTCATACCAATCCTATGTACAACAGGATGAAACACTGCCTAGTCCTGTGCCAACCTCACAACCGTTGCTACGTTTGAGCCCATCATTGCAGCCACTATGTCAATCCATCTTGTTGAGGGGACTCCTCTTTTTTGCTGACCCTCTACTTTACCAAGCATGATGTCCTTCTCCAGGGACTGGTCCCTCCTGATGACATGTCCAAAGTACATGAGACGAAGTCCTGCCATCCTCGCTTCTAAGGAGCATTCTGGCTATACGTCTTCCAAGACAGATTTGTTTGTTCTGGCAGTCCATCGGATATTCAATATTCTTCACCAACACCATAATTCAAAGGCATCAATTCTTCTTCGGTCTTCCTTATTCATTGTCCAGCTTTCGCATGCATACGAGGCGATTGAAAATACATGGCTTGAGTCAGGCACACCTTAGTCCTCAAAGTGACATCTTTGCTTTTTAATACTTTAAAGAAGTCAGATCTGTCCAATGTAATATGTCGTTTGTTTTATGTGTGCTTCTATTTAAAGACAACTTATTTAGTGTTGATCCATTATATATTGAACTCAAGGCCAACAGCACTATAACTCACGCCTGAACGAAGTTCATCTAGCATGTATTTTCTCTGTAAGACATATCATAGCCTCTTGTGCTTAGAATACTAGACAGCACTTCAGCACTACACTTAGGGGTTATTTTAAACAGTGAAATCGTCAACAAAAAGCAAAAAAATGAGAAAAACGTGACACTAAATACTGGCAAATGGACACTTGTTTACTGTAGGAGAGCTGAAACAAGGCAGAGCATCACCTAGTTCAACCTCAGCTGGGAACATGTGCAATGGGAGACTCAAATTTTTCACTGCTCTGCGCACGGCCATGAAATGACAGTGAAAAGCCCTGTGGGTACTGATTTTGGGGTTAAAAATAAGTTTTAGTGAGTAGGCGAATTCACAAATCTGGAATCTGTGAATACTGAGGATCGGCTCTATCTGTGTTTAGTAGAGATCCAGAGAGAGTGCTGACAAAGAGAAGGACAAGTCTTTTTCCCTGTTAATCTTTTGCCCCGTGTCCCTCTCACCTTCATGTACTTGTTGAAGACTGTCTGGATCTCCTCATTGATGCTAGGCTGCAGGACAGCACGGAGGAGGTCCATGGAGATGGCAGGATCTGTGAAACTGCATCAGGAGGGAGACACAGTTAGGGGGGTATGGAGATAATAATCAACATAAATCAAATCTCCACTTTGCATTTCTTTGTTCACTTCTGACACCAGCTGCCCAGGAAGCACCTCCTTCTCTGACCCTAGCCACCTGGAACTAGGCCAGACCTACAAGTTAAAAGGACACCATCCTTCAGACTGCCACACAGGCAGATGCCAGCTGCAAGTCTGGGAGTTCTCATGACACCCTCACTTCGGACCTGCTGGCTACAAGTTTGAGGTTTCCCTCTACTCTTCAAGATGCCAGCTGCAAGCTTGGGAGTCCCTCTTGGGCTCCCTCACGTCTGACCTGCTGGCTCCTACTACTCCTTTGGGTTCGGTAATTTGCTAGAATGACTCACAGAACTCACAAAAAGTGCTGTAGTACACATAATTACAGCTTTATTATAGCAAAAAAGGATACAAATGAAGGGAGTCTGGGAGGATTCCCAGTATGAAGCTTCCATGTGCCAAAGCACGCACTACCCTCCCACATGCATTGATGTCTCTCACCAACAAGGAAGCCCATGGAGCTTCTATGTCCAGAACTTCTGTTGGGGGTCTCATTACATAATACAAACTCCAGCCCCTCTCCCCTGAGATCAGCCGGTATCACAAGATCATCATGAGGTATCAGAAGGTGGGGCTCTCTGGCCTGGCCACCAAGAGGTAATCATCACGAGGTAAGTCACTCTGGCCTAGTCAGCCTCCACCCCATAGTCGCCTCCAGAATAACCTATCAGGTACAGAGTCCTTATCGAGGACGCTTAAACCATTAGGGAAATTCCAAGGTTTTTTGAGGGATTATCTCTCAGACACTGAACACAAACACCAAATTCTTTGGCTAAAGTTAATGTAATTTCCACAGAGGGCACACCCTTTCCCAGTCT